CGGGAGGGCGCGGGGGGGGGCGGCGGGTAACGGCCCTGCCGGCCCCCGGCAACGGCCGCTCAGCTGCACGAGCCCTGTTTGGAGCGGGAGGGAAGGAAAGGAAACCAGCTGTGGGGCTGGCCGCGGTGAGCGAAGGGCCCGTTCCGAGGCCGCGAGTTGGGGCGCTGGGGCCCCCCGAGCGCAGGAGCCGCCGCGCGCGGTGAGTACCCGGTGCAGCGCGGGCCGGTTGGTACCGCGGCCGCCGAACGGGGCGGCCCCCCGCGAACCGCCGCGGCTGCCCAGCGGAGCCCCGCRGCCGTGCGGCGGCCCGGCCGGGCCCGCGCGTGCCCCAGAGCCGGACACCGCCGGGGTGCCGCCCTAGGGGGGACCTCAGCATAGAGCTTGCTGCAAAATGAAGCTGTGCAAGGGGAGAGGGCTTCAATGTACACGAACGCCTTTAATAAAACTTGGAATACACAATGCCAGTATAGATGTGCCACTGAGGACCAGTGTTTTTCTCCTTAAAAATACAAGTCAGCRCCACCTGGAACAGCAGGAAATTAGTTGTCTCATTTCTTAACTYCTAAGCCTCGATATATGAAAGTTTATTTCTAACAACATCAAGTTAGACCTCAGATGGTGAAGCTTATATTAGCGTCTAGATTATAAGAGCTCTACATATTTTTACCAGCTTAAGCCCAGCAAGAGCTTGAGCTGAGCTTTAGACGTTCCCCTTGCTTTCCGGGGCTATAGCGGGTCGTGGTGGCCCGGCCGGGGCCGCTGCTGTTCCGCTCCAGCCCGTCGGGACTGGGGGAAGCCCGGGGAGCGCTCAGTTAGSCCGGCCTCCCAAGGCTTGCTCCGCACAGCAAGGCCGTGCCTTCTCTCCAACCCCAGCAAGGGGCATTTTGGCAGGAAGAACTTAAATCATTTAACAGCTGCCCTCAACAGTGGTTGTAAGGAGCCAAAACAGCCTTTATTGGAAAAAACAGCCCTTCAGCCTAGATGAAGTGGGGTTCCCTAGGATTAGAGAGCTGACCTACGTTAGACACTTTAACCTATTTTGGTAGCAGGCTCTGATTTAGCTAGGGGTTGAGAAGCTCACTGTCTAACTCAGAAACTAATCTAGAAAAGCCACTTTCAAGGCCATTAAGACAATTTTGGAAAACAAGAGGAAAAAAAAGAAAAGCTTTTTCCTGTTCCTAATAATTAAATCACTGATACTTGGCTTTAAAAGTGAACAGTTACCATCTATTCTTCTGTGGGTGGAGGTAAAACTAGGTTCTTCTTTGCAGGGAAATAAAGTATCAAAGCAGAAGCATGCCAGCCCTTTCCTAGCTAGTTCCTTTGATACCGATCTGCCTCACTAGAGCCCTGCGACAAGAATTTTCCTGGCCAAAAGTTCTTCGCTGGGATCATCCCGAGCCCCTTTGYGCAGCAAAAGGGAGCGACTCAGAGAGGAGCCTTCGAGCTGGAGCGAGGGAGCTGYGTCCCTGGGGGCAGGAGCTGGGCACCTTCCCGGCAGCCGGCTCCTCTGCTCCAGGCTCTGGGGCGCCTCCAGCACTGCAGGGCCCTGGGCGCTGCCCTTACGGGAGCTACCCTATGATGTGCTTCTCAGTGAGGCTTGGCATGCAAAAGGAGCAATGTTCACAAATAGCTTTTGGTATGGGGAAATGTATTTTTGTGGGGAAAATGAAACATGGTTAGTAAGCAGCTTTATTATGAAATGTGAAAAATAGGAATAACCCCTCTTCTCATCCCAATTAAAAACTAGCAGTATTGCAAAGAAGTAAAACTAGGAGAAAAAATACCTTAGAAAAAAAGATGCTTAAAATTTTTAAGGACATGACCAAGTAACAAAGTTTGCACTCCAGTATCTGAGTGCAGCAGCTTGTACTGAACACCCGTCTCTTTAAGCAGCGTGTGCTATAGCCCCTGCAAAGCAAACACTTCCACATTCATCAAGCTGCTGAACRTCCGTCCTTTCCTCCACTATTTATGTAAACTGGTGCTATGGTGAACTGGAATATTTGATTGCAAGTGAAGCACAGAACGAGGATGTTAGTCAGGCTCTACCTTGCCAGGTTAGAGCTCGTACAGTCTGTGACCACCTTCTGAGTCGTGTTGCACGTTTTCTCTCTCTTTCAGGCCTGCAGAAGAGCGAGCAGCGGCGGGCTCCTGGGTTTGGGATTTTAACGTCAGCACCACTTGCCATCAAGAGACAGCTCTGGCCAAAGGTGACAGACAACGTTTACCTGTGCCTGGTGAACCCCCCAACAGGAATGAGGCAGCTTGTACTGGGGAACATTCAGGAGGTAGTTCTGTTGCTCCATCCRATACACAAATTTGCTTAAAGATGATACTTGTTGCGGTTCTAGGTGAGTAAAGAATCAGACACTGCATAGATTTTTTGGTTAATTTTTGCGCAAATTACATTCTGTATTCATACAAAAACAACGTAACTTTTCTGACAAACTGTACATATAGAAACAAGTTTTTGTCTGGAGGTGAACTGAAATCTGTGGAGCTGCTCCATGTCTTACAACACTAAAAAAAATTCCAGCTCTTCACAAAACAAAGTAGGTAAAAGACGGTGAGAAAAACGGGGGCGGAGAGGACAAAATGGAAACCCAGCTGCAATACTGCAGCCAGGAGCGGTTGATCGATCTACGAAAAGACCCTTGTTAGGAACTAAAGCACATTCAGTTATCCCAGTTAGGAATCCAGGGTTGTGGTGCTGCAGGTTTACGTTCTCCTTGAGTCCAGAGTAGCAGTTATTTAAATATTGTCCAGCGAGGACTGGGTGTGACCCAGTCAAAGCCTCTTCTATCGTCCTCTTCCACCACCCCTGGATGCTCCTCTTCTTGACTGACCAGAGTTCATGTTGCTTCCCCTTCCCCAGTTACTCCCACTCCTTCCTCTGGAAGGGTTGTTGCCTCCTGTAGGGCCTCCCCCGAAAGCTTCATCCCTGTGGAACCCGTCGTGATGGTCTCCATCCAAAGAGCCAGACCTGCCAGATTTTGGCACTCGCTGTGAAGGTCCTGARCTTCCTCGTCCTAGAAATGAAGCACAGTCAGTTACTGATGCTGCAGTTTAAACCACATCTCTGCTCAGACACACCCTATGTCTAACTAGTTCTCATGTCCTATAAAGATTATGAGTGATATTATTGGTTGACTCTGTTTTTTTGCTAGAAATAATGAAAAATGTTCTATTTCACTACTAACCATGAACAAACTGTATCAGCTCTTAYTGCCAGGTACATGAGGATTTTATAATTTCATTGATCTTTTTCGTACTGATAAATAAATCAAAAAAAAGAAGTCAGTAGCCAAATTAACACAAGTAGTACTTTGAAGAAAAAAATGGCAAGTGCTTAATGAACCAATTTACTACTACAGCCAAGTTAGAATTATTTATGCTCCATTTTAGCAAAAGTTATTTCTTCTGGACTGTGTTTGGTTCTGTGCAAAATAAGTGACCAAGTTTATAGTCCATAAAGTTGCAATCTCCAAAAGACTTGAGCAGTACAACCAAAAGTGACAGGACCCTTATCTGAAACAGCCATTGCTCATCCTGTGCTCATCGAGCCTTCCCTGGCTGTTCTGAACTGCCCTTGGTACAACAAGGCACAAGCCTAGGCACAAGTGCAGCAGGTACCACTCGTTTTGAATTCAGTAAAGCATCTGGTAGCGTTGACACAAATTATTAGTGAAACTGGAAAAAGAATCCTAGAGCTTTGGTAAGAAGCTAGTTAAATGGGAGCAACAGACAGTTTTGAAAGGAAAAGTACTGATASAGGAGGAGTTTAGCAATGGAATTTTATTTTTAAAAACTGTAATTTTATTTCAAAAACCTGCGAAGCCTCCCGATGATACACTGAACGTACTGTCTGTAGGGAGGACTGTCCTATCATTCTATACTGAGTTTGAGGACATGAAATTCAGTGGTATCGATGGCCAGGCTGTGCAGCTGAGGACTAACAACTACCTCAGCTATAGACTGAGCTTAGCTTTTGGAAGCAACTGGGAAGGCTCTTGGTCATTGGTCACAATCGCTCTCAGGATGAGGACGTTGTTAAAATAGACAACACAAGCCTTTTATTTTTAAGGAGAAAATGGAACAAAAGGTGAGGGCAGGGTAATTGTGGGAGCTCTGCACACACAGCAATAGGTGCTGAACTAGCTATCAGACTCCCAAAGAAGATGGTTTGTGAGTTACAGCAGCTAGTTCTGCATCTCCCTAATGTTCACAGGTAGTCAGAAAAGGCAAATACAGCACGAGTAGCTATTAGGGAAGAATGGAGAATACAGCACACAACCAGGACAGCTGCTGAAGTCCACGGTTAAACCGCATCTTAAAGAGTGCAGACAATACCTAGTTACCCCATGCTTTACAAAAGTGTGAATTAAAACTGGAAAGGATATAGGCAGGTTAGATAAGGATAGGAAAAGGTACAGAACAGCTTTAGTTAGGCCCGGTGACAGGTCTGTCAGTGGGTGTGTGCATGTCAAAAATTTTTGTTTTCTCATAAATCAATTAGAGAAGTAGACAGAAAAGCTCTCAAAAGCAGTGAAATATAAAGATAACGTTACAGCATGTCCCTGAACTACAGATCTTCAGAGAGCATTTCAGGGGCATACCGCCATAGGCTCACTCTATCTGATACCCTTCTCCTAGCTAAGRATATTAACTGACTACAAGTTAGAAATAACTAATCTGAAAAAAACAGGAAAAAAGGCTCTTAACAAGAGATTTCCTTTTAGACTAACAGGGAGCCAAAATTTACTACTTTTGAACGGGAGCACAGACCATTTAAGCAGAGGATTATCTGATGCCAAAAACTGTCACGGGATCTGGATTTGGAAAATCCCTCCTATCTCAGTAGACCAGTCTTCAGCTGTACAGTTGGTAAGGTTAAATATTTACCATAAAATTCAATTCAGCCTTACTCCCYTCTGAATATTAGCTCAGTAAACTTTAGTGTTGAAAAACATGCCCATGTAGCATAAGATCTTCWACACAAAGGCTTCTTACCTTTGCCCCTGTCCTCCGGAGGTCCCCCTGGAGCGTCCATTTCCCTGTGGTCAGAGGTGCCCGGGCCATCGTGCCAGGGCCGTTTGCGGGGAGGGAGCGAGGCCATGTCCATGCCCTGGAGCGAGGAAGAACGCTCCCTGTTAGCTGCAGAGTGGCCGTCGTGAGGAGGGAGGTCTGGGCGAGGACCTGGGCGTGACAAGAAGAGACAGGACCATAAGGAATGTTCATCTGATCATTATTCCTCGTTTTGGAATTAACCACAAACGTACCTGCGTTCTACATTATTTGGTCCTCAGCTTTGTAGCTTAATTTCCCTCCCATGCCCAACAGCAGCATGAGCAAATAGATGAAAAGATTTTAAGAAAGCTAATGGTAAGATGATGAAGACAGACTTCAAATAAATGACAGATCTAAAATGTTCTTTTTAGGATTAAGTATTTTCATGTGATTTAGCAAAGAGGGAATCCCATTCTCATCTTTGCTTTTTCATGTGTCATTTGCACTCATTTTTCCATGACACTCCAAAAAKCTCAGTTTTAACCTTACAGAGAGTTCCCATTCACAGTTATTACTGTTAGTAATGCAAATACTAATATCAAAGCTGTCTGTCACTGTAGCTCAAAACCTTTAAACAGGAAAAACAATAGTGAAGTTGCCATCATAAAGGATTACTATGATATTAATAGAGGTCTCAAGACACGTGATCTGACAAAGATAAGCTTCAGTCATTTGCAGGTGGCAACAACAGACAGTTCTGAACTATGTAAGAGTCCAAGTTAAAAACAAGACTTCAGGGCCACCATCCTTTCTTTTCTTGTGTTCAGTGAGAGCGCTGCATTTAGAGCCAGGCACATTCTGGCCGGTTAAGTTCCTTCTGGATTTAGAAAGTCCCACAGAACTAAATACTGCCTTTCAAGTAGTAAAGGGAGCGATAACAAGCATGTGAGATACAGGTTTAAAAGGTGCTCCTTTTAAAAGTTACCTGTTTAACAGACTTCTTTTAAATAGTCATCCTTTTATCCAATGCAAAGCCCACCAGATTTTTTACCTGGCTCTCTGTTTCCATCCCAGGATTCCGGTTTCCGGCCTCCTTCAAAACGTGGAAATTCATCTGGAGTTGGAAGCAGACCCTTCCGGCCTCCTGAGCAATGGAGAAGATGCAGAGGACAGCAGTGAGAGGAGACATTGTGCTCAGGAAACTTTTCCAATTCGYCCAAGAAATGTCTTTGCCCCCTCAACCATGCATTTCAGTGCAGAAGAACGTTCCCTCACCTCGGAGAGCACCGCGACCTCGTCCCCGAACACCATGGTCCCTTCCTCTCGCACTGTCATCGGGAGGGTCAAAAGCGTCATCTGGCCCAAAATCTTCAGGACCGGGGAAGCCGTCTCTCCCCCTGGGTCCCCGGCCCTCGTGTCTTGAGGGTCCTCCTCTTCTGAAGCTACAAGAAAAGAACATAGTACAAACGTGGGGTTTTTAGGCAGCTTACACTGATAAACTTGAATCATCTTCACTTTAATAATCAACTTGTTTCAGAACCATTTTACTTGATACTGTAGTGCAAACAATTACTACAACAGGACTTATAGCACAAGACCCTAGACTGCACTTGGCTCTGTAGTGATGACAGTTGCTGCAAGTGCGCAGGAACATCCTATGCTCTGAAGGACAGGTTATTCTAAAGTGCAGTTGTCTTGCACAGCGTAGCTCTCATGACACTGAAGTCGTTTTTTTTCCTTCTAGAAGTGCCCTGGCACCTTCAGTGATCCGACACCATTGGGTTCGGTACCTTTTCTTAGGCAAGCACAGTTCCTCCAGTATTGCACTGGGGTTTTATCTGAGACCTTCAGAGAGAAGACTGGTTCATAGGGAACCGCCAGGTGCCATTGCAGGGAAGCCTTTAGGTGGCTGCAGCAATCGCGGCAGTGCTGCTCCTCACAGCGCCAGTGTCTGAGCACCTGAGTGCCCGTGGAGGCGCAGCCACGGCCCGCGCAGCTGCGAGCAGAGCCTCAGCCCCACGGCACGCGCGGGCGGCGTTACGGGACGGGCACGCGGCTCCTCACGCTGCAGCGCCCGCTGCTCCTGCCGCCCTCAGCAGCAGCACCTCTGGCCTTGCCCCTCGCACTGCTGCCCGTCCCCTCGGGCCAGGGCCGCGCGGCCAAGCCGCAGCAGTAGCGGGTACGCCTGGCTTCGGGCAGCATCCCCTTCCCCAGCTCATGAAAGACACAGTGCATCCTATTACAAGCAAAACTTTAGATACTTTTATTTAGAATTTTAACAACATTAACCTTTTAATTACAAATTTAAATATTTTAACAGTAGTCATAACACAATACAATATTTTTAAACTTTTACATTTTTTTAATTAAAAACAATAGGTCTGTCTCCACCTCCCAGAAAACAAACACAATACAGAGAGGAGGCTGCTGTGCCTATAGAGGTACAACAGTGGATGGAGGGAGTGCTGCGTATGGACAATGAACCATTTTACATTAGCTTGAATGACTCGGGAAAACAAACTGAACAGTCTCAGGTACAAATGGTTCAGATAACCACAGAGCAATATTTTTCAGCCTTGAAACAGCACAGTCCTCTAGGAGTTCTTTAGAGGGTCTCCCGTTTTAATACTGACATGGTGCAATTCTGCTTAGCTTGAAATTACCGATTTTTCAGCAGCAGGTCCTAGGGCTACCCGGACGGCAGCCTGGCGGCCACAGCGCAGCCCTCAGCCTAGCAGCCCTACGTCTCCCAGAGCCACCGAGCCTAGCAGCGTGTGAGAGCGAGCCCTGCGCTCTGCCGCGCACCAGCCCCGCRCGCCACCCTGCCTCGCATGCCGCTCCCATCCCGATTTCACCGCGCCCGGGTCGTCCTCCTTGCGCCTAGGACCTTAACGTACAGAGCTGCCCACTGTGCAGGTGAGCAGGCAGGAAGAGGCAGGTCTCTGCAGTAGGAGCAGCGTGGTGATATGCACAGGCAGAATAAGAACAGGACAGGCATGAGAAGGAGGGGAAATTAGAGAGAAACACACACATACACACACATCCCTCTCACGCGTGATCAGTCCAGTTACAATCCAAGTCTGCAAACCAAGTCAGCTAGTGGAGAGGGTTGGGACTCTCAGGTTCACCTCAGCATCTGCAATAAGCGGCTTCTAATTCACCTGCACTCAAAGGAATTCATAAAATTTGCTAAGCACAACAAGCCCTTTATAGCGCTGTGCTCATCGCCTTTAAACCAAATTGTCCGTACAAATAGTCCTACTGTGATGAATAGACTCTTCTTAGGCCAGAAGGCAGATTTACAGGTCACAGGTGTTTTGGACACTCTTCTTTTTTTAACATTTTTAAAAATCAGGGGGGTAATAAAATATTTCCCAGGCCCTAAACATTTCCAATACAAGATTCAGAAAATCTCTACTGCCCTTTTAAAAGCGTTGTCTGCCAGGCCTTTTACAATTCAGTAGTGCAGACCACTCAGCTGGATGCTACTGGGTGCTATTTACTCTTACGTTTTTAAAACGGCTGTAATTGTTACCTTCTTTTAGTTACTGTTCATTTCTTTTCATACTCTTCACACAAAAGGAAGGTACATCTTTACAGAGCTAGGTAGAAAATAGCTAAAAGAAGAGCTGTATAGATGTAAAGTAAAAGGAATGTAAGAAAATGATTAAAAAAGGCAACTAAAACACACAAAATTCACATTATGTGGAGACCACAATATACTGGTACGAGTACACGTTTCTATACATATGGAGTTGGTGGTCAGTGAGAGGCTTAGACCTTGGAGGCCAAATTTTACCGTTAAAGTAGCATAAATCTGGAGCAACTTTCAATGACAGTTAATCTGGCTGACTTAGAGTAATTCCTCCATATTTACAGTGATAACTAGAAGCAAATTCATCCCTTTGTGATTTGTTTGGAAACTGCGAGCAATGACTTGGACATTGCTATAAACTAGATTATTTTTGTGTTCTTCGCTTGGCATTAAGAAATAAGTCAGAAAGAAATAAAATTCCTACGAGTTAAAACATGAGAAAATAGTCTCAACAGTCCAACAGATGCAGTAGCTCTGCCCCTCAGCATTTGATGGTAGGATCACTGTTCCTGCTCCTTACAAGCACATTGCATCTCTACARTCTACGGTCTCTACAGTCACTCCAGTTTATGACTGGAGACACAGTCTCAAATTCCATTTCTAGTGTTCAAAAGTTTGTCACTTTAAAGTTCCAGTTTCCTCTCAATTTTCATCAAAACGATCTCAGATCTTCATCCTGTGTATCTTGGTCTTCTCTACAAATTTCCTGCCTTCTCTTTACTTACTGTTTAAAGACACGGAAGCTGCTGTGTACAATGACCATTTTTCAAGTTTTCTTCTATTACTGAATGATTTTATGGACTCTATACTCAGGTATATTAGAGTTTTCATTTCCTTATTGGTTTCCAGTTTATAAATCTGAAACAGATAGACTCCTTAATGAAGAGGAAACCAGGAACAGAGTGATTTCCCTCCACACACCCTTTACCCCCCGGCAAAGAGGAGATTGACTCTTACCTCTCATCGCGTCTTCCCCGGAAGCGTGCGTCCTCAGGATCCCGGGGATATCTGTCGTCCGAAGGTCTCCGKCCTTCCCAAGCACCAGGAGGCCCACGGTTTGAACCCCCTCCTTCAAATTCCCTGTGATCAGGAGGAAACGGAGGCCCGGGTCCACCGCGTCTCCATTTTTCATCTTGCAGCGGTGGGCCTCCTCTCCCCTCAAATTCCCGTAATCGATGGCCAAATCTCTTATCTGGATGGAAGTCGTCACGGAAGTCATCTGGTCGATCAAAGTCATCATGGAAATCTGGGTGAGGTCCTCGTCTATCTGGCATGCCCCTGCTGTCTCTACCATCACCCCACTCCTGGCCACCTCGAAACAACCCTCTCTCAGGCCCGTGATCGGGACCACCACTGTTCTGGTCGTGCCTTCTATCTGAGAGAGGGCCCATGTGATGGTTTGGTGGACCACGGGAGTCACCTTGAAGGAAAAAATCATAGCAAATTTCTGTAATGTTTTTTAAAAACATTTCTAGGATGCTCTAGTTTGCAAAGTTCTCCAAAGCACACACTACACATTCCACTTTAAATATTCTTTGGGGAAACACTTCTCCACTCTATTCCTGCCAAGGTCTTTGGCACCTTCTCTCTGAGCCAAGGCCTGGTGCTCTGCTATGGCTTTTTCTACCAAAAGGCATTGCTGTCTAACAGCCTCTTTTTGGAGAGTTGCTCTTAGAAGAACAGACAGCATAAATAGTTACCTTTATTAAGACCAGGTCCTTGGCTGTGAGGGCCGAGACGACCTTGTCCTCCCTGCTGCCCCAGTCCCGGGATCAACGGTGGAGGACCTGGGTTCTGTCCGTCCTATTAATATATAGCAGGGAAGACTCCGTGAATTACCACGCAGCAGAGTTCTTGCTTTCAGGCATGTTTTGTACGAGTGCAAAATACATTTCTCTACACAAAGAAAGACCACGTATCTTCACAGATCTTCAGTGAACAGAAACAACTGCCGTGGMAATGGTTTGGGGTACCAAGAACGTCTGCTGGGGTTGCTGGTGGAGGTACCAGCAAAGCCCTCGCGTAACCCTTCCTTTGTAAGCTGCTAACATGGAAATACATGAGCTTGTTTCTTACCCTGCTGGCAACACTCTTGTTTGTTTCTTTTCCTAAATCCATGCTCAAAAAAAAGGACTAAAGCCTCTGAGGTGCGTGGCCAAGCACCGAGCGAGGAGCTGTCTCTGGGTGTGGAGGCAAAGCACCTCCAAGCAGACAGTGCGGGCTCAGCCAGAGCTGGCACRGGCTTTATCAGGCCAGAGGAAAACAAATAAGGAATAAATAAGCCTTTCATTATTCTATTCGAATTCTGCAAGGTCTTTTATGTTGACATCACACACAAAAGACATATAGAAATATTGTTAATACATCCCTCCTCCCTAAACAATCAGAAAGCCCCAAACATTCTTTTCCTAGACACATCTATAGAATGATACTTTGAACTTGCCTCTATACTGGCTTGTAGAAGACCTTCTGAGTTGCAGATGATTTGTAAATACCAAGTTTTACCACATAACTGTACTCAKGATTACCCTGATGAATCTCTATGTGAAACCAAGCTGATTTTTATAGTCTGTACTTATTTGTTTGGAAACACTACTACTTTTCTTCAGTTCAAAAGTAGTGGTAATAATTAGTGCATTTTTCCCTTCACATATTGAAATAGATTTTAAATTATGTACTCAGCTCTTATACTGAATTGCAGTATCTGCGATAAACAAAAACCAGCATGTAAGTACTGACTACAAGCACTGCATTTGCAATGATTATTTTTGTGAAGATTTTAGGGGAAAAGAYAACAACAACAAAAAAAGGCTCCATCCAATGGCCATTAAAAATTGTCTTCCCACTGACTGGGCAGTGGGTTGGATCCAGAACACAAATTCACTGCCTAGGAAAGATCCACCCAAACACTGTCACAAAGCTGCTGTCCTTCTCGACCTAGACCCTGCTGGAGTTGTACAGTTCCTGATCCATGCACCTGTGCTTACTTACAAGCAGCTTTCCTCACCTTCTACAATTCCTGCCACTTCTGCTTAAACAAAAAGCAGTTTTCAGCACCCATTACAAGACTTTCCTTAGGACTGGCCAAAAACGTTACCCGTAGTGCCATGACAAAGCAGGGCGGCAGACGGGCCATGTTCGCACAGGCCCTTGGTGCCGGTGCCCCCGGCGGCTGCTCCACGGCCCCCACACTACTTGTTTCCTCT